AATTCCTTTTGTTGTCTGACTCGAAGATCCTCCTCAAGCTTTTTGATCTCATTTTGAACTTCTTTTTTACGTTTTTTATCTCCTTTCGTTATCGTTTTTCTTAAAGAGGTAATTTGACTGTTGAGTTCTTTTAATTCTTTTTTATGACGCAAGGCTATCTCTTCAATTGTCTCTGAAAAAGACTCTGCTTGTGTTGCATTAATTTCTTTCGATTCAGCCATTAGATGTTGCATATTATTTTTCGAATCTTTTATAGTGAAGTTTCTCATGTGACGCGAGCATATCAACCTCGATAAATATGTGGTTAGGTCATATATTAAACAATTAAGTTTTTTTTTCAACTAATGAGATCTTGCCTAATATATTTTATTTGTATTTCTTTTACAAAAATTATTATCTATAGATTATTCTAGATATATATGTTATATTGAATTGCTTTTATATCAGCTTATTGCTATTAACCTATCTGTAAATACAGTATATATCAAGGTTAATATACCAAGGTTCTGTTAATATATTTTTATTGTATAAATTATAAAAATTAAAAATAGTTTTTTAAAATTTAATAAAAAATCTTACATTACAATACTTATCAAAAAAAAAAATTGGTTTTTTTTCTTCTAGTTTAATTATATAATAAGTCAACAAGTTAATAAATAATTTTTTTTTTTAAAAAAAAAACAAATAGTTTTTATATTTTATTTTATTATAATTTTTTAAATTTATAATTACAAGATTTATAACCTATAGTATAATATATATTTCTCTTTACTAAAAAGAGTTTAATACAAGACTTACAATTAAGACACCTAATAATATTACTTTAATATCACTTTGATATTAGTTCAATACTTAAATTTACTATAAATTAATATCATTTCAATATCATTTCAATACCAATTTAATACTTTTGAAGTCCTATTTACAATTGTAATCTACTTATCTAAACTCCTTAATATTATTTAAAAAAAAGATATTCAAAACCTATATTATATTTTAAATAATATTTAACTATCTAGAGAAAGTTAATTATCAATTATATAAAAATAATACAGTTACTATATATAGATTAGTTATCAAGTTATAACTAGATTTAATATACTTGCTTTTCAAATATAACTTGATATATAATAAGTAAAATAAATATTGATTTCAAATTATATTAAACTTAAATTATATCAAAATAAAACCAATCTTTTATTTTTTATATTAACATTACTTTTTCATTTGAATTTATTACTAGAATTTAAAACCAAAAAATAATAACTAACTTTATTATCAAAACAACTTTAAAATAAAATTAATCTTTTATTTTTTGTATCTAGTATTTGATCTATTATTTGAATTTATTATTAGAACTTAAGATTAAATAATAGCAATTAACTCTAATATTAAAGTGATTTTAAAAGTATATTTTAATTTTAAAATAGTATAAAACTAGTAATTAATAGAAAAAAGTTTAAATATAAAGTTGTAATTTGTTAAAAATAATATTAAATATGAAATAGGATTTGTATTTCTTATAGATATTATTATCTAATTTTATATAATTGATTTATATTATCAAGAAGTAAGTAAAAAACTTTTGTTATTATTATTAGCTTGTTTATAAAAATAATTAAAATTCTTAATCTTTATATATATATATATATTTTTTTTTTTTTTTTTAAGTTACACGACCTTAAATGCAAGTATTTATTTATACTAACCATATCTTTACAATACATAAGACATCTTCTGTAACTGATACACTTCCAGTTAATT